TGGACCAAAGTCTGGCAAGATGAGAGCCCGCCACTCAAACAAAGGCCTATCAACCACATTCCATTCAGCTGCAACACTAGGACTGCATCTAACCAGGGACTTTACCGCTGCCTTTTCAGTCCCATGAGCTTTTGGGGATAAAATCCACTTCATCAGAGGAGTTTTACCCATGCCAGCTCATGCCCTATGCATTTGTGAGTCTGTAAGGTGCCACAAGACTCCTCGTGGTTTTTAAAGTTACAGACTAACACCGCTACCCCTCAGACATCTCAGTTCCAGTGTAACTACACCTATCAATGGTGAAATGCTCAGGGAGCAGTAACAATGCTTATGTCCTGTAGACACTAGAGCTTACCCATCTGAAAGCACAACTATTACCAATGACTTAAACAAAAAATAGTCTAGCAGCATCTTAGACTAACAAAACATGAGCTTTCATGGGCAAACCCACTTCTTCGGAGGACTGGAAGAATTAAAAGTCTGGATCCAAACACCTTCCCTTATTTATTCTTGGATCGGAACTTTTAATACTCCAGTCCTCTGAAGAAGTAGGTTGTGCCCACAAAAGCTCATGATCCCATCTACATGTTGTGTTAGTCTGTAACTGGAAAAACTTAAACAACGAATAGTCTGCAGCACCTTAAAAGCTAACTCAGCTACCCCTCTGAAGCTTTATTACCAATGAGGTTAGTCTGAGAGCATGTGGGCAAGATAGAAACAGAAAGTTAAGGGAGGTGTCACTTGATCCACAGCAATGTACAGAATTCAGTGTGTTCCCCTCTGATGTGGTGGGCGGACTCGCTGTCCCCGGTTCCCAGCTCCAGGTATTCCGCTTGGCAGAAATGTTCATACTATAATGTGACTAGAAATTGGTCAGGTTGGGTAACATTGAACCTCTCTAGTCTGGCACACTCCAGAGAATTTGCCGAACCCCGGGAGGTCAGTATTGTCTGGCAGCATCACCAACAATCCCACTGTTTGCTGGCTCAGAAGACATGTTGAGGTAAATTAGAGCTAATAACAGCACAGAACACTGAGAGCCTGGACTGGTGGCTGGAAACAAACTTTATGGGGCTGCAGGAAACTTGGACACACACACCCATGATCAGTGAACATCCGGCTAACTCAAACCATGCCAGGCCACAGATGTTGCTGGACCAGAGTGTGCTGGACCAGAGAGGTTCAACCTGTATTGATTATCAGCTTGGTTTATTATGACAAGAGAGTTGTAATGAGGCACTGATTAAAACATCAGCACGCAACCAGAAATTACTGGAATCCATTGGCAAACAGTACATAGACAGTTACACAATAATGTTATGTAATGTATGTTCATTACAATACTAATATTATTTATGACAAAATCTTTGTTTTTAGTTTAATCTTGATCATTTTTAGATACCTATAGGGATATCAAGAATACCAATTAGTAGCTGAATCTTTAAAAAAAATCCCCTGAAGAGCCCTCAGTTGCAACTTACATGCTGTAAGAAGTGCACCCATAAAATGAAATTTGCAAGGCTGGAAAGAAAGTACAAGAGAATTTTAAAAAAGTCAAAGATTTCAGGACAGATGCCGACAGTAGGTGAGACTTGCCTTATTCTAATTTCCACGGCATGCATTTGGAAAAGAACATCTGCGTCTTCTGCAGTGAGCTGGAAACCCAACGATATCCATTCAGCAGAGTTTCAACACATGAGATACAGCATGAAGCAGTCACTCAGTGAGATAGCTCCCTTTCCTTGACAACCCACGAACAGATTGCAAATGAAACATGGAGGGTGGCTGGAATGACTTCCCTAGAAGTAACCAAGCACTGTCTGAGCGTATTAAGTGCTGTTAAATACCAAGAAGGAGCAGTTTCAAAGCTACAGGTGAGCCGACCAGAGCTCATTAATATGAAAAAAGCATAACATAAAATGTACCACTCAAACGGATACTCTGGGTCATGATTTGTATGAAGCCTTCAAAACCCAAAAACGTATCCAAGGGTCCATCAGTCTATGGGATCCCGTTAAGAAAGACAAACGATATGCTTGAATGCAAAGAAGGAAGCCCAAGTAAAGGTGACAAACTATTATAAAGCTAACTGCAGACAGGTTGGCAAAATGAAGCTGTTGTCTCCCCGTGGTCTCTGGAAATTTCTTCATAATTATCATGAGGAAGCTGACTCTAAAACTCCCTTGTATGCCATCAATACCACCCAGAGTTGCTACTAAACTCTAGATTTCTGAGTGCTCTCTGTGAAACACTCCTTAAGACTTCCACCAGATGCTGGTTGTGTGTCTGTTGCTGGGGAACAGAATTACTGATTATAACTCAGAAGTGGTTTCTATCACTTAGATCATTGAAAATCACCATACTGCCAGCTACAAAGATCACACTCTCTTACTGCATTTGATTCAGCCCCCAAAGCCTGATCTTGTCCTGGAAGAGCTCAGAACAACAGAGAGTCACTGAGGAAGTGATAAATCACTGGAGCGTATCATGACACATTTACCATTTAAAGATCAACATTAGACAGAGGAATGCAGGTGAATGTTTTCCATGATGCAGAAAGAGAAAAATTGCCACCAACAAGGGATGCATTTTTACCTGCTACCAAATCGATAAATTATCAAGCAAGGGAATAGCTTTCAGAATTGGAAAGTGCATTCAAAATAACCCTTTAATAACTGCTAAGCCAGCACGACAGCAGGATGGGGACTCATTAACATCACTGACATTGGGTCTCATCACTGTCGAAGCAATGAGGTCACCCTTGCACCCTGGCTCAGAAATGACAGCTGAAATTTGCAAATGCATCTTTCACCTTATTCATTGGGGGGGGGGGGGGGGAAGAGATGAGAGAATATGTTCTATAAATACAGTGTTCTATAAATACAGAAGCAGGAGCATATAAGGGAGAAGTTGTGTGTGTTAATGAAACTAATCAAGTCAGGGTGCAATTGGGTGGTCAGGTCAGTGACCACCTTCCATTCTGACCGAATTAGCTTCATTAACACAAACAACATCTCCTTTATATAGTCATGCATCCTTCTGCAATTTCCATCTGATGAAGTGGGTTTTACCCATGAAAGCTGATGCCCTAATCAATCTATTAGTCTCTAAGGTGCCACATGACTCCTTGTTGTTTTTGCAGATACAGACCAACACGGCGACCCCTCAGACTTTTCACAGTGTCAATGTTTTTCTCCAGAGCATAGGACAGCACTGTTCATCTGCAATTCTCTTCTGCCCTTCACTGCACAACTAAACAGGCACAGACCCAGCTTGAACAGACCTGACAACCCTGCCCGCCAATGTCCAAAATGCAGTCAAAATGTTATCTTGCCTTTCATCAGCAACCCAGCTAGACTGAGCTGTTCTCTCCTTTCTGCTGAAAACTGTCAGATTTCAAAGGTTAGGCTGTCTCTCTCAAGGTGGATGCTACCTTTATTAGGATACTACTATAAGAAAAACATGCGCCCACATTAAAGAGTGAATCATGGTGCCTTACGGCTGCAGGCATATCTCTAATTGGAGTGTATATTTCTTTTCAAAGACATTATAGTTAAAATATCATAAACATGAATGCCAATACCAAGGAAGTGCAGATTTAAGGTTTTTCTATGCAAACGTAACAGCCACAGCTACTTTAAATTTGCCCCATCCTATCTGCCATTCTTTGGATAAAAATGCCCTTTACCACATTAAATTCTGTCTTTAAAAGGAAAAAGACCTAAAAATGGCACATTCTTACTCTTCCACTCTGCTCCTTAGGTCTGTTCTGAATCATCCCCAAGTACTTTACTGAATGAAACACAAGAACCTGATACTCAAAAGTAAGGAACGGATGCCACATCCTCGGAGTTTCATGGGAGTTGGGATTACTCAGCAACTGAAAAACCAGGCCACACTTTTTTTTTTTAAACACACACTCTTTTTAGTGCTACATAAGGCAGATATGACAGTTGGATTCTTTTCCATCTCCCACTACATCAGCAGAACTGCTAACTCAGTTTTGACTGCAGATTGCATCTCTACCAGTAAATAAAAGACAGACCTTGTCTTTGATTCTAAATTGCACTTTCAGAGCACACAGAAGAAAGGTTTTGTTTTAAAATTCTTTGCTCAAAAAACTATAGGGCAGGGTTTCTTATTATTTGCATATCAGACACAAACAAAAGACAATGGTAACACTATGGAGCATTTCTACTCGCACCCATCTGAAGAATTAAATGCAAGGAGCAAAGCAGTTGAATCTGATCCGTGCCCAACAGACACTGGCCAAGATTAAATGATTACTAGATTCTGTTGCAGCCGTTTGGACTTGCAAAAGGAAATTAACTGAAATGACTGTGCATTTCCTACATACTTCTGTATCCCTCAAACACAGACATTAGGTAAAATGTCTAAATCTTCTTAATTACTTCTAGACTAGATAGGTATTTTTCTAGCAGGAGGGCCTGTTAATATTACAACCCTGACAGCTGCTGCATTCTACTCGAGAGAGCAATGTTTCAGCAGTGGGTAGAAGTTCTAGTGTTTTAAGACCCTTTAAAGATGAACAGCTCTATATAAATACACATGAACCTCTTTAATCTGGCATACCCCGGGAAACAGAGTGCTCCAGATTAAAGATTTTTCCAGGCCAAGGAAGGAGTGAGGGGGATAGGGAAGGGCGCTTACCTGGCGCTCCGAGTCCCCTGCCACTCCCAAACACCACTCCCCCTCCCCACCTCTGGCCACTGCAAGAGCAATGGGGAAGAAACGTCTAGTCGTGCAGTGATGTGCTCTGCCATTCTCCCAGCTGCAGGGGAGAAGGGGTAAGGAACGAGAGGAGCAGCACACAGTCGCTTCTGCATCTGTTGGCCAGGGTCTGTACCACAGGTGTTCCCAAGTTAGGGACACCCGGGGTATGGAGGTTGTAGTGTATATGTAAGGGAAGCAAAAGACTATCATGTTGAGTTTTCTTAAGGTACCACTTTTAATATCACCTTCATTTACCTGTAACTCACCTCAAGTTCTTTAATTTTCTCTTCTGCTATTTTCTGCTTTTCTAGGAGTTGGTTGTGAATAACTCCCTTGGACTGAAGAATAAACCTACAAGTGTAAAAGAAAAGACGTCAGGCAAGTTTACTATGGTTGCAGAGAGCTAAACTGCATCAATCAAATGTTAGTCTCTCTCCCTGTGCTATATACAGAGAGACTGCAGACAGATTCATTTACAGAACAATAAAAGCTAATGGAATTGAACACTCAATGGTTTAGTGAAAGTGGCCCAGACTGTACTCAATTCTAGACAAACTAAACACTTAAATGTAAAGCGTAAAAGTTGATGCCAACCTTTTCTGTCCTGCGCATTGTTACCAGCCTATCTATCTATCTAAATGGTCTTAACATTTAGCGAAGACACTGTAGTCGCGCAGCCTATAAATGAAATACTGAAGATTTCAACCACAGACATGTCACAACTGCTCACACATACTAATGGGGGACTCTCGGACACCAGCTAACTTTTAGGTTTCCATACATGTTCTGTATTTTATGATCTCCGTTTAAGTGTTTGAATACAGAGATACACGCTGGTTCTGTATGTCATGACACTTGGATATTTTATGGCATATGGACGATCTTCAGTAGGCTATATATCTAAGCAAGAATCATTAAGGACTTCTTCCTCGAATTCGTTATGCCTGGAATCTGACTGATCTCTATGGTTAAGATTAGATCTGGCAAAACTCAGAATCTCTATTCCGTGGGAAATTCTGCCATTTAAAAAAAGTTTGCATTTTGATTCAGTTCAGTAACTTTCAGTTTCCCACAGAGAAGAAATCCTAAAAAAAAAAAAAATTGTTTTTACACATTAACCATTTCGGTTTCATTTTTCTAAATGAAATGGAGCAGCCAGTTGCCTTCGCCTCCCAGGCGGATGCCATAGGATGCCAGTGAATTTCCCACTATTAAGCAGCGATCCTAAAGCCCCAGGAGCCATGACTCCAGCCGAGCAATCTTGGGGCAGTCCTTTCACCTGAGCCACAAACTTAGAAGCCCTGGGGTCCCTGGCCTTTGGACATTTGCCATGGAAGGGCTCGCCCAGAGCCAAAGGAATCCTATCTGTGTTTTGTCAGAAGTTCCTTGAACCCAACCCATTTCTGAAAAATATTTCAGGTTCCATGTACTGGCATTTTCCAATAACCCTTGTCCCTGACCGGTTCTAGTTAAGAGTCGGGTATAAATATTTTAATGGTAATGAATCTGTGTAATGGTTGGGATAAGGCAAACCCTGGCTGTTCTCACGGTGGAGACAGATTTATGCCTGTTTGGGTGCCCTTAGCTGTGTTTCACAGTTTCCATTGTTTATTTTTTTTAAAGTGAACTTGGAATTCCAGTGCTTTCTAAAGTTCAGTTTTGTCGCATTCATTTTTCTTTAACAGAAGCTGCAGTCACGAGTGTCTATTTCTTCCCATTTCTACATTTATAGTCAAGTTATGAAGAAGTTTCGTATGAATTACAGATGAAAGTCACAGCAAGCTTGTACAGCCATCAAAAGAACGCTGCCCCAAATTGCTCAGACACATCTGAGTAACCACGTGGCTCGTGTCTACTCTCAGAATAAGACGCCGACTGACAGCCTGCGAAGAGGTAAAGGCTAACTGAGTTCAAATAAATTTTAGGAACCTGACATAGCTTCCTCCGGCCCCTCCTCTCACACACAAGGAATGCACAAGCAACAGATTAGCCTTTTCCTTACTTAGAAAGTCACCCAGAAGGATTAAAAGGAGCCTCCATAGTTCATACCATTGTGTGCAAGGTCCCTCCCAGGGCTAACTAGTGTCTGGGACCACGTCTTCGTGCCAGGTGACAAGTGCTCATGTGGAACAGCTAAAATGAATAGCTTTAGAGTGGACCGTGCCAGACTACATGCCTCCTCTGCACGAAGGCTTGAATTGAACGTGTGGCATAATCTCCCATGACTAATGGGTATTATTAACTTGTTTATTCAGGGCCTGGAAAATGAACAGATCAGAATCAAAGAGAAATGAGGATCCCCCAGCGCATCTTGAAAACGGTACCCAACACCGGCAACCTGAGGATTAACCCTAGGTGAACAATGCCTGCCGCCATCACAGCCCTGCAGTTACAGGAACAGCTGCATGTAATGTTCACATTTTGCAAAATCATGCTTCCCTTAATGTGATGTTCAACCGCACTTCATGGTGCTTTCCTTGATTGTGTTACACGTTTTTCCTTCCTAGCTTTATAATTCACGTGGCAGCTCTTCCTTCTTATGTAATCCTCAATATCTTCCTCACCTCGTCCCTTTTCTGTCCACTCATGTTTGTGTCGTTCCTCCCTGGTATCATCTTTGCTCCCCCAAAATTCCAGCTCTCTCTTTTTATTTAATGTATCCCCCCATTTTCTCCCTTTCTCCACCTCACAGCCCCAACCTCCCCATCTGCTCAGACACTGGTAACAGTTTCAGGCCCTAACATTCAACAGCCAGGTAACTAAACAAAAAGGAGGCCTCTATCTCTCGGTGCAGTGTGCCTATGAGAAGTCCCAGCTGCCCCTGCGCTCTCTGGGAAAGGAAAGGCCACAGCATTTGCAATGGGGCAGCCCTGGATCCTGTAAATGATTCCATTTCTCACAATCTGAAGCTCTCTCACATCCCTTGTAAAGTTGAAGACAGGGAGAGCACTGCCCCTGCTTTTTTCCCCATACTGCACTCTTTGAGGCAGGGACTCTGTGCTGGGTTTGTACAGAGTCCAGTAAGATCCTTGTCCATGCAACTCCTAGGCACTACTGCAATATATACAAATGCTCTTTTGCACTGGACAGCATCATGGCTACTGTAAGGGTGCTATGGGGGGGTGGAGTGGCTTCACTTCCTTACACTCTTTTTGGGGTAGACCTCACCAGTGAATAGATCCAGTAACTGCTCATTTGCTGTACATAGCTTTCCCAGGTTGGAGTAGTTCAAGCTGGTCATCTTCTCTGTTTCACTGCTGCCCACTAGGTTCTAAATAAGGAACAGTGAAAACTGACATGATTCTGGTCAATTTTCACTGTGATGCAACTTGAGAAATCTTTTGAGAAGCAGCAGCAGAAGCACTGAAGTTGTCCAGTTAGACTGAGGAACACTACAGAGCACTCTAGAAGATCTTTGCAGCTATAAGGAGTAGAGGATTTCTTTGTTTTTAAATAGAAGCTTTGATTCTACTGCTGTCAACACCATTCAGCTGAGAAAACATCCTCCCTGGTTCCTTTCCTCAAACTAAAGCTTAAGAATGTATATTGGCTGCTATCAGTGAAGTACTAGTAACCAACAACCAACATTTTCAAATTGAAATATTAAAAATAGAAAACTATATCTACATTTGTTACTATATCTATTTGATCTGAGGAAGTGGGCCTGGCCCACGAAAGCTCATCATCTAATAAACCATCTTGTTAGTCTCTAAAGTGCTACATAGTCCTGTATTTTGTTTCAGCTACACCAGACTAACACGGCTACATTTCTATCACTATATCTACATTTGGCCACCTAGCTGGCCTGATTTTCAGAGGTACCAAACCCTCAACAACTGGGTTATTGATGTAGGTGCCTAACTTGCAGAATTCAGCTTCAAAAATGTTGGCTAAAGTTTTCAGCCAATTGAGGCCACCAGAGAAAACAGGGAGGCCTACTCTATGCAGCCATATAAGGAGTATTAGATTAATTTAGCTACAGGTTGAACCTCTCTAGTCCCTTGGGACCTGACCAGTGCCAAACCAGAGAATTTGCCGAACCACGGGAAGTTAATATTTTCTCGCAGCATTACTAACACTTCTTTAAGTGACCACGTGAAACTTACCCACACCCATGATAAGTGGACATCTGGCTAGCTAAAATCATGCTGGACCACGGATGCTGCCGGACCACAGAGGTTCAATCTGTATTAGTAAATTAGTAATATTGGCCCCAAGTTTGCAATTTCAATTAATCCAGCTAAGCACTTAGCTGGATTGTTCATTGTTAAGTAGGGGAGAAATTAAGCACTAATGTTTTTGTGCAGTACCTGCTGTAGTGGGGGACACTGATTTGTATTGCTCCCCTTTAGATAAAAGTTCAAGAAATGTAATACGTGTAAGTAATGTCAAAGAAACCTAAAAAGTACAGACAGGCACTTTCTTCTGTGTGTATATAAAAAGAAATATTCTAGACATGTTAATTCAGTGCAGAGTATATGAAGAAATGAAAGAGCTGGTAACACTGCAGGAACTAGAATATTTAGAGTGTTTTCACCTAGCATATGATGTAAGGCCATAGAGGTGTTGTTGGAAAGCAAGGGACAGATTCTCAGCTGGTGTAAGTGAAGTTAATGGACCCATGACCGTTTACACCAGCTGAAGATGTGCTCTCCAGAACATGACAGAAAAACAAAGCCAGTGAAGCTGACAGTTGCCTCCTTTGGAAGTGTGAAGTTGAACTTGTGAGACTGAACCTGACTGGTATTAGCTAGGCAGGGGGAGGAGGCCCTGAGCAAGGCTCTGCCCCACTCGTATCTAGTGTCCTTAGGTGAGGTCCCACTACTCAAGAGTTCTTAAATGTGACAGTGATGACTGGTAAATGCCCGGGCGTGCATGTTGCTGTACAAGACAAATATCACGCCAAACCCTGCCCCAGAAAGCCTCTTACCCAAACATGGGTTCATTAGGAACTGGGAGGAGGACATGCTCATTTCACTGGTTTCTTTCTCCAGAAGCAAAGCTTTCTGCTCCTGATTACTGAGCACCCAGAGCAAAAACCAATACACACTGCAGCCAAACAGCCACCCAAAAAGAGTTGTGGATTTCCCCTTTTCAGCTTAACTAGCTGTTAATTATAAAGCCTACTAACTTCTACAACTGCTCCTCTTACAAGAAATATCCATCGCTCATGCAGTAGGATAGATTCATCAAGTACTGATGTTCCATTCATTTGGTCCAATAAAAATAAGGCTGCAAGTTTTTAATAGAAAAACAGCTAAGTGTTCTTGTGATGATTTGGATACATAAATTTTAGGAACCTGACATAGCATTGCTAAGGCCCTTAAGAACGGATAAAAATTAGTAGGGAG